GAGCGAGGGTTCAATCCCTGGTCGGGGGACTAAGATTCCCAAGCTCCACAGTGCAGCCAAAAAAAAAAAGTCATCAGAACTTCCTTAAGCCTGTTTCTTAAATACTTGCCTCCAAATTCTTTATTATTCTTCCCCAAAGATAATGAACTCAGAGGCAGCTCTCAGCAGTTGTGAAAGCATTTTCTGATGCAAAAAACAAAAAACAAAAAAACAATAGTCTTTATTTTAGGATATCACTTATGTACACCTGCAGTAGAAATGTGGGTTTGTTTGTTTGTTTTTTCCAGTAGTAGGAATGGTATGTGCTGAGCTCTATATATCCCTGACCCCCACCTTTTAATCTTTGAAGAATTGATTCACTGATTTGTTTATTCAGGAAGGATTTATTGATCATGTCAGTATGCTTTAGATATTGTGCTATTTTCTGAGCACAGAGTTGTGGATAAACTACTTGGGATGTCTGTTCTCATGGAGCTTAGAGTCTAATTGCACTTGTGGAGTTTGCATTTATCAAAATACTAATTGGGGTCAAGGGTGCTTACTCAGTTAAAATTGAACTTGACTGCATGTAATGAAAACTCAGCTATATGGCTTAACTAAAAACAGGTTTAAAGTTTCTTTAATAACAATATATCTGGGGCTTCCCTGGTGGTGCAGTGGTTGAGAGTCCGTCTGCCGATATAGGGGACGCGGGTTCATGCCCCTATCCGGGAAGATCCCACATGCCGCGGAGCGGCTGGGCACGTGAGCCATGGCCACTGACCATGTGCGTCCGGAGCCTGTGCTCCGCAACGGGAGAGGCCACAACAGTGAGAGGCCTGCGTACCGCAAAACAAAAAAAACAACAAAAAAGCAATATATCTGGAGGTAGGAGTCCAAGACTGATGCATGTGCTCACAGAAGTCATTAAAAACAGAGGCTCCTGTTGGCTTCTTGCTCTGAAATTCATAGCCCAAATCTTTCATCCTTAACTTCTAGCTCAACTATCATGTATTCTAGGGCATGGTCTATATAATATCTATTCTTTAAAATGTATTGATGCTTTATGTACATGATTAATTTTTAAAAATATTCCATGCATGCTTAAGAAAATATAAATTCTCTCAAATATCTGTGATTCTGTTTCAAAAAAGTTTATTTTTTATTTTCTCCTCCCATGAACCTCCCAAGCTGTCCCCATCCCAAGCCCAAGACACCCACCATGGACAACATTTCAAAGTAGCACCTCCTCCCGCAAACTCCACCATTACCCTTGGATCTCCAGTGGTTTCTTACAATTTTCTGTTTCTTGTTACTTTGTTAATATTTTACTCTATTTGCTTTAGTGTACTACTAGTTATCTATATTTCCCTCTATCCATCCATCAATCCATCTAATTTTTTGACACATTTACTTGTTTTTTCTGTGGCTGATTTTAAATTTTTCTGTGCTTTTCTGCAGTTTCACTATGATGTGTCTAGGTGTGAATTTCATTTAATTATTTTGCTGGGTATTTGTTGAGTGCCTTGATGTGTGGATTGGTATGTTTCATCAATTCTGGAAAATCTTAGCCTTTTCTCTTCAAACATTTCCTCTGCCTTTTTCTCTTTCTCTTCTCGTGATTAAAGTTAATTATATTTAGACATTTTGATTTATTATTGCGATTTCTAATAGTCTCTTTTGTAGATTCTTTTTTTTAAAGGTGGGGAGGTCTCTCTGGATAGTTTCTTCTGACTTGTCTTCCAGTTCACTAATTTCCTTTTCCACTCTGTCTAGTTTTCTATTAAAGAGTGTCTTTTCTTTTCTTTCTTTTTTTTTTTTTTTTTTTTTGCGACCTCTCACTGTTGTGGCGTCTCCCGTTGCGGAGCACAGGCTCCGGACGCGCAGGCTCAGCGGCCATGGCTCACGGGCCCAGCCGCTCCGCGGCATGTGGGATCCTCCCGGACCGGGGCACGAACCCGTGTCCCCTGCATCGGCAGGAGGACTCTCAACCACTGTGCCACCAGGGAAGCCCAAAGGGTGTCTTATTAATCAAGGTTCAGTCAGAGAAGCAGAATCACTAAGAGATAGATAGATTTACAGACAGTTGGTCTTATGCAATTGTGGGAACTGTTTAAAATAATCTCTGTAAAGTTTTTGTCTGAGTCTAGAACTTAAGATCTTCAAGGCAAGGGTTCAGGAAGGGAAGTTGGATGTAAAGAAGAAGAACTGGAATCCTTAAGGACAAACTAGAACCTGTATTAGTCTCTCACCACATCCAACTTTTATGATGTGGGTGCTTTGAAGGAGAATCTTGTGCCTTTTATCATGGAGCTAAACATACCTTGCCCAGAATTTGGAGAAGCTGAAGGAAGATGTGTGACAAGGTGTGTCAGCTGAAGGTCTGATTGTTGCCCCACTTCATCAAGGTGAACTAGCAGATAAATGATAATGTGCATGTGTTGCACCAGCATCTGTCACCCCTGCAGTAACTTCCTGAGTATAAAAACAATATGACTGCTGTTTCACTTCCACCTTCCAAATTTTGTGCAAAAATCTCTCTGATAGCCCATTCTAACTGGAAACATGCAAGAATAGGAATCCTGCAAAACGTAGAGCAGACCAGCCGAGATGACACACTAGAAAACCACCAAGTACACACTTTTCAACTAGGCACCCATATGTACCACTTTAACTCATACTTAACTTCCATCCAGAATAAAAACAATAGCAAAGTCATGCCTTTGCCTATTATGATGCAGCTACACAATGTTCAGCCAAAAACATGTTAACCCTTTCCCCTAAAAAGGATAGAAACTCTCTTTTCCATCATTGGGTGATGTTTATTCTTCTAGTTTTTCCTTTAGCTCAGTCACACTCCTTTCATATCAAATAACTTGAGTAATGAGATATAAAGTTAACTATTATTAATATATCATGTGTTAGTAGGAGAATGGGAGAGGGGAAGATTTCATATATTATATAAAATATACATATTTATATTTCACACACATGTATGTGTACACATACACATATCAAATTGAGGATGAAATATTCATAACCACTACAATCATTTTTGCTGCTGGCCATTTGGGAATCAATCTATCACAAACATACGTATAGCTTTTTATAGTCTTTATCTGAAAAGTCTAGTATCTGATGCCTTTGCAGGTCAGTTTTTCCTGCTTGCTGATTTTGCTGTGCTTTTTTTTTTTTTTTTAACCTATCACTTTAATTTCCTCTGGTTGCCTGGCTATCTTTTGCTGTATGCTGGACATTTTATGCGAAAAAGTATGTATGGTAATAATTTTTGTTTTTAACTTGGGATCTTAGCTCCCCGACTGGGGATGGAACCTGCACTCCCTGCAGTGGAAGCGTGGAGTCTCAACCGCTGGACCGCCAGGAAGTCCTATAATTTGAGTTTGGAAATACGGCACTTTCCTCCAATGAAAGGATACTAAAGGTAGCTTAATTCAATTTTCCTCTTAATTTTTAGTAATGATTCATGTACAAAAGAAGGTGACTGCCAATAATAGAAACAACAGGGGAAAGTACAGCTTCTCTGGGGAAGATGTCTGGCTTCAAAGAACTTCCCTTGTCTTGTCTGTGAAGTGGACCCTGATTCCTGCCAGGAGTCAAACAGTTCTTCACTAAGAGAAGCAAGTCAGGCTCTCTATCATTGGTCCAACCTACCTTTTGAGGTTCTTTCCCCACGATTCCCTTATACTGGCATTACATTAAGCAAAACTAAATAATTCCCCATTTTTCAAACTGTACTTTATTTTTCTGCCTTGATACATTTCTCTCCACGTGTGACCCGCAGGTGTGCAGCTTCTAGTGAAGAGCCCAGGGCCCTCACCCCTGTTAGTTGCAGCAGGGAAAGAGGCGCCAAGATAAAATACAAACAAGCGTTTCGTATATATGTATAAGTCCTAAATATTGCCTGGAACGTACTCATACTAAAATGTAAAAAAAGTTATTTGTAGCTTAGCCAAAATTCAAATGTAACTGTGTCTCCTGTATTTCTATTTGTGATATCTGGCAACCCTACTCCAAGGCCTCACTGTGGCAGAGACTTAGAACGAGGAAAAACAAGTATCTTAGGTGTATTCTGTGGTTGACATTTTTCAAAGCCTTTCAAGTCTTTTCTCTCAGGATCTTACTACAAGTCTGAGAGGAAAGCGGAACAAGCATTTCCATTCTCATTAACCAGATGGGAAAAAAACCCAGACACACCTCCACCCACCCAAAAAACCAAAAACCAAAAAACAACCACACAGTAAAAAAACAAAACAGGGAACAAGAAATGGAGGGACGCCTACCCAGGTCAGGAACACAGCTGGCTCTGATCATTCTTAAGCCCACCTGTTAAATTGGCCCAGGTTCAACCTTGGAATCACCTAGGGAACTGCCCCAAACCCGCTGATACCCGCACCCCACTCCTAAAGTCTGGGCGTCTTTTAAAAACATTTTACCTATCTACTTATTTATTAATTTAAATAAAAAAAAATTTTTTTTTAACCTTTGGACCCTCTCCACCCATTTCTCTTAGCACGTGGTACTTTCAGTGGACTTTTCGGCCTTAAAGTCATCTTTATTTTAATTTCATTAGATTGTAAAGAGTCTGCAAGTCGCAAAATCAGTCCACCGCTCTGGTTACTCATCTGAAAATGTGGGAGGTAACAGTGTATTTCTTAGAGGGCTGTTGTTAAGATTAGGTGAGCGAAAATGTGAAATGATGCCTGGTACAAAGTGAGCGCTCAAATAAACGTCAGCTACCGTGCCTTAGAAACACTGTGACTTTGATCGAAGAGTTTTCACTAAAGGGAAATAAAGGAGGACTACGTTTTAAAATTCTACTAAATACTCGAGATAACGTGTTGAGAAGTATACAGGCAAATGGCCAGAAGGAGGACGGCGCCTGCGCAGGGCCGCGGGGGAGGGGGCGAGAGCGGGCGTGCGCAGAGCCGGGGATGAAAAAGCGCATGAGCGGGGCGTCCTGCCCATGGTGCGCGGCGTCCTTCTAGTGCTGTGCGGCGCCGTTCTCACGCCGTGCCTGTTCCTCGGTAGCTGTCGGGCTCTGACGAGAATGATGGATTTTGAGAATCTTTTCTCCAAACCCCCCAACCCGGCTCTCGGCAAGAAGCCCGCCACGGACCCTGACCAAAGGTGACCCCCGGTCTTTTCATGCTTTGAACGCAGGGGATGCACTTAGGTTCCGCCCCTTTGTTCCTTCGGGAGGCCGCGCTGGCAGGGCCGCCAGGTCCCGCGGGGAGCGCGTCGGGCCGGCCGGGCCGGTGCGACGGCCGGGCGCCCACAGGTCGTTCTGGGGCAGGGGTTAGAGGCCGGGGATGGGGCCCGGTTCATAGGCCGCCGGGGCCAGCGGTGCCGGGAGCCTGGGCCTGGGGGAGCGGCCCAGACGGCGAGGGAGGCCCGGGATGCTCCCCTTTCTCTGCGCCCCGGCCCCCTCCGGCCGGATGGGAACCCGCCTGCAGCCCCATAGCGCTTTGCCCTTGCAGGCAGTCAGCTCCTAGGGGACAGAGATCATTTGTCATTCTCACTGCACGTGCTAGGCGCTTTTGGGTAGAAAAGACGTGCGGTGAAGGATAGAGTCTCCTGATTTACATCGGAAGATCCTAAAGACCATAATAGAGCAGCGAACTCCATTGGGATATACTGTTTCCTTTAGGTTGAAAAAAGGCGTTGAGACTGCCACGGAGAAAATGGAAGCAGGTTAGGGAGGTAAGAGAGGATGGGATGGTAGGGAGGAGGTAGATCCTTTATGTAAGGGAGGTAGGGAAAGCCTCACTAATAACATCATTAATATTTGAGTAGGGACCTGAAGGAGGTGAGAGAGGTTGATTATCTAGTGGGAAGAGTATTCCGTATAAAGGTCCTGAGGTGGAGTGAGCTAGCTGTGATGGGGTGTTGGGAGCAAAGTAGCCAGAAAGACAGCTGACGTGGAGTAAGAATAGTGGGACTGGAAAAGTGGAACTCGAGAGGTA